TTTTTTTCAGATTAATCGTCTTAACCTCCAATAATATTGTCTCTTGAAATTTTAAGAAAATTGAAAAATTAATAGGAAAATGCTACCATCCCGTTACGTAATCATTCAGTCATGGTTGTAACCGTTAGATCAACTATCTTCCGACAATTACATGATGATTTTATAGCTACAAATACTGACGGAATGATTTCGTAACGGAACGGTAGTATTTCCGTTACCAGTAGCTCTCGAATTCAGATTGTGAGGTGTGATCACGCGCTAACAATGCGCGTGGAGGAGGGTGAATAAGTTACACTAACTACAAGGTAAAACCCGACAAATTATTCTGTGGTCGCCCAATATTAAAGCTTTGATTGCATATTTTGGCTCGAACTCTCACGTCTTTTAATTAATTTGGTACTAATTGCACGTAATTATTGTGTTATTTCTTTTAATAGGTAGATGTTAGGTTCCTTTACGGAACTATTCCGTCGGTGTTTGTAACCGTTAGATCAACTATATCCGACGACCAATTATTTCTGACGGTTACATGATGATCTAACGGTTACAAACCATGACGGAATGGTTCTGTAGCGAGACTGTAGTATTTCTCTTTTTAATAATGATGCTATAGATGCTGCCTTATTTTTACGAAGGCCAACATATGACAAAACCTACTTCTGAGTTTCGTGGAAAATGAGGTCAAAATGCATAAAATAAAAATAAACTATTGGGATTAATTTAGATATTCATGCCCCGTGTAAGAATATAATTAATTACTAAATTTAGCATTGAAAACATAATTTACTAAATAGTACTAACTATATAGCTACACTAGAAATGAATTAGATTTCTTGTGCCCAAAAACAATTATTGGGATTGAATATCAATCAATTAACATGAAACTTGAAATGAAAAGTAGTTATAATGAATAATATTGCTTAAAAATAGAATACGTCTAAATTTGAAATGAAATTATATGTGACTCGTTTTAATATCATTTTGCTCGTACATGCGTATAATTATTTATCTGAAATCTATGTAATACATAGAGTCGTTACACAAAACGAGTTGTTCGCAAGTTCACCTCATCCGTTTAATGTACATTTATTAGTTAGTGTACCAAAATGGGTACAATAAGAATAATAAGTAGTAGTAAGGGCTTAATTGCAAATTTCCAAGTAGGTGTTGGATAAACAGTAACTGCATTTAAGTACACCAAATATTTTAGAGACAACCTATCTCTGCCCAAAGCCGCCTCATACACACTGAGGTCTTCTCTCTCACACACACACAATAGGGAGAACAATAATACTAGTTTACCCACAGTGGACACATGTTAATATGTCCACCGTTTATGTGGCATGCACACATTGGTGATGTATTTTTTGAACATATTAACATCACCAATGTGTGCATGTCACATAAACAGTGAGCATATTAACATGTGTTCACCGTGGGTAGGTGAGCATTATTGATAGAGAGAAATACCATTACAGTGAGAGAAATTAAATAAACTAAATGTACTTTTATGTAGTTACAAAGAGTAATAGAAGAAGAAAACAAGGAAGAAGTTTATAGGTAGTTGCTATATGTGTATAATTTTACTACCATAGATAGGATTTTGATTACTAAGATGAAGCACTTTTTCCCCTATATATCTCTCACACACCAACACTAATTAATCTTTTCTTCCTCAAATTACATATAAAAGACCATAAGGCGTGTCAGCTAATTGATACAAATCAGTTCAAATGTATGAATATATTTGTTAATAAAAGTATGTCGGTCTAACCGTTAGAAATACATAACAGTTATATTATAATTAGTAAAAAAAAAAAAAACCATCTGAACCAAAAACATTAATATTCATGTTCCTAAAATATACTCAAACTAGTAGAGAGCTTCAAAGTTTAGGGAAACGCTACGGTTCCGTTACGGAATCATTCCGTCGAAGTTTGTAACGGGACTGTAGCATTTCCCAAGAGTGTTTAAACCCATAAAGAAAGCATCTCTTTTTATTTATTTATTTATTTCATTACAACTTAGCTAAAGCCACACACAGTCACACACTGACACACTGTGAAAGAGTGAGAAAGCTAAAGTCTTTTTATAACAGCCTTTTTTTCTCATTAATTTAGACTACACAAACAAATGATGCCCCTATAAAGCTCACAGATTTCCTTCTCTCCCCATTAAAAAAAAAAAATAAAAAAATTCTCCCATGAATTGAATTCAGACATAATAATATGCAACTCCAAACTTAAAAATACCTTTTCTTTTCAAATGACCACACAACACTGAAAGTCTTAGTTTTTTTCTTTCTCATTTTCTTTTTTCAGATTTCTATTATCTAAAAGTACAAACTTTTTTCGAAAGCTATGTTGGACTACGGATGGGGAAACCCGTCGCCGGTCATGCTCACCGGAGACGACAATCCCCAAGATTCTGACCACCACATCTTCGAACCTTTCGCCGCCCAAAACTTCCCGGAAACCACCGCTACCTTCATACACCCGGACACCCACTTCGCCGCTTCCACCGCTGCTGCCGGAGGCGGAGGCAGCGGCGTCCCCTTCCACCCAAACCCCCAGTTCACCCCCTTCTACGACCCGCGCGCCTACGGCGCGTCCTCATACCCCCACCAACCGCCGGCGGCGGCGCCTACGCCGCCGCACATGCTGTCGCTTGAACCAGCCGTTCCGGCGGGGTTCTTGTCGGTCCCCAAGGCCGAGCCGGGGGCCGGCGGGTTCGATTTCAACGCGGAGTACAGCAGCAGGATAGGGCTCAACCTCGGCGGCCGGACCTACTTCGCCTCGTCGGAGGACGACTTCGTGAACCGGCTGTACCGGCGGTCCAGGATCTTCGAGCCCGGTTCGGCCAGCTCCGCCAGGTGTCAGGCGGAGGGCTGCAGCGCCGACCTGAGCCGCGCGAAGCACTACCACCGCCGACACAAGGTGTGCGAGTTCCACTCCAAGGCCGCCACCGTCATTGCCGCCGGCCTCACCCAGCGGTTTTGCCAGCAGTGCAGCAGGTGAAAAATGACAAGAATGCCCTTCCTCCATGCATTTAGCACTAACTAATAATAGCATGTCTTGTTTACTTTGCGCAAATGGACTTAAATGCCCCTTATTTTGTGGGGGAGTTAAATGTCTAATCACGTCAGTGTGCCTATTTTCGGTCTGCTATTTGTTACAACTCCTAGGGCATTAATGTCCGTAAATTTATGACTTCTCTTGAAATTTTGGACCCTTTTTCACATTTGGCACATCCTGTAAGTTTATAGGTTCCATCAGCTGCCGGAATTTGACAACGGGAAGAGGAGTTGCCGGAAAAGGCTAGCCGACCATAACCGGAGAAGGAGAAAATCATCCCAGCAAACTAATAATCAAGAAAACAGTAACAAATCTCAGCCAGCTGATAATAACAATGCACCCAACACCTCATCTGAAAACTTAGCAACTAGTAAGTCATCTTAATTTATTTCTTTTTAATTTACTTTAATTACCATTTTCTCCTGTTTATTTGTCAATATATAGCTTCTGCATAACTTTTATGTTTTTTTTTTTAATATTATATTACATAATATCTAATTACAAAATTGAAGGAGAATAGACATCCTTTCCTTTGATTTTGACTTCTTATATACATTTTGACAAACCTATAGTTTTTTATAATGCCATCTCAAATTATAGTTTTTATATATATATAACTAAAAAATCAAATAATTGATTATGAGATTTTTGAGAAATTTTGTTTAATTTCTACAGGGTCCCCGCCGGATTCCGGCCACCACTCGTCCTCGGTCACGGTGGCAATATCCCCTCCGAGAATCTCTCTCGATTGTTTCGGCCACCGATCTAATTATGCCGGCATGGGCCCCACCACCTCGTCGACTGCATCAACGGGCTCACTCTTCTACTCGAATTAGTTAACGGCTGAATCATATTTTGCTAATACGGCAAACCGGCATATCGCGTAATTAATTTTTTTTTTCCCGGTCACTGGAAATTTCTCTAATTTTAGTTCCAGAGTTTCAAACATGACCGAGAAGAAATTAATATTATTCAAGAAAATTTAGCAGCTCTCAAAGCTGATAAATTGCGGAATTATTAATTAAATAGCTCCTAGTTATATATATATATATATTTAAGCACTGGTGGAGATTTAACAGTTAATTGTGACCCTTTTGCTAGTGATAAAAAAGTGTTATTCATGTGGAAATTCTATATTTAACTGTATGTAACATTAATTAATTATAATTATTACTACTGTTTTTGTATTAATATTATTATTATTATTGTTATTTAATTTTATTGCTTTTATCAGGTTGTGTTCATGTTATCCATATATAACAATGTACCTTCATGTTCCTTGGGAATTGAATTTAATTTCCTCTTTGCATGCCCACCTCCAGCTTTCAATTTAACAAATGGCAGAAAAAGAAATTTAATAAAAAAATGGATAATATATATTTTCCTTTTTCCAAAATAATAAAATATATCCCTTTTAGGGTTTTCAATCCTACTGCTCTCTTAGTGTATTTTATCATTAAAATTAAATTAACACACACATTTTACTCCAACATTAAAAAAAAAAATGTTAGAATACCCACTTGTGAGTTGTCCCACATCGTTTATACAGGAAAATAGGCCTAATTTATAAGTCTAATATGGTTTTGGGATGGAACATTACTTGGGCTATATCATGACTTTCTAGTCATGGTGCGCTTCATCTGCGTGAGACCGCACCCGTTTGCCCCGTTTCTTACAATAATAATGACTGTAATGCAGTTAAAATGAACCCCTTTTGGAATGTAATCCTTTCTGTTTTAACTTTTAACATGTTGCAATATTGGAACAAGGGTTGGTTTTTGGCAGGGTCACACCATTGCAGGCCATTACTAATTTTAGATATATATAATTCATTGCTACATTTAATAATACTTTTTATTATTTATTTTTCTTGTCTAAAGGTCTCTGATATTTTCTGATGCATGCAGTAACTTTCATGTTTTACCCAGAGTAAAAAAGTTTCTATGATGAAGGAAGATGACAGTAAGTCAAGCTGTCTCCTGCATGGAGGCTATTTTTTTTTTTTATGAAAGGCTAAAAAATTGTGGGGGCCACCCACTGTTTATTGGCATGTGAAGAATTGATTGAAATGGATTTTCAATTTTTTTTTTTTTTTTATCCTTCAAAATTTCATCTTAATTCTAATCTTATTTGCATATATTTCTAAACTTTATCAACAAATATGTATACTTTTAAATTGAAATACAATACTTTAAAAGACAACATAAATAAGAGAGTACGTGATTTTACGGTATAAGTTTCGCATTTTTTTTGTTAAAAAATATATATATATTAACAGATTCGACTCGTCTAATGAATAGACCGAGCAATACATAAATCTTATATTTTTAAATAATAAATTAATGATTTTTTACAAAAAAAAAAATATAAAAAAAAAATCAGACGATACACCAGTTTGTATCAGAATATCCTCCCATATCTCCCCCTGTCCCACCATAACAAGCCCTTCAGCTCTTTCCTATCCTTCACGTGCCTCTCACGTGGTTTTCCAGTCCATGGAGCCCCAGAGCAAGAATAATGAACCTTCACGCAGAAGCTGCCACGTATTTGAATCTCAATGGATCATTATATTATTGTCTTTTTTTTTGTTTATTTTTTCTTCACTTTTTTTGGTTTAATAAAAATATATGTGATAAATCCAAGTTACTAATATTTACAAACTATGCTAAAAGTGTAGTTAGGCACCATAGCATTAGATACTTGGGTCAGTTTTTAACAGGCCCAATGTGTAAAGCAGAGGTAGTGATTAGCCACTTCGGAATCTATCAAGCCCAGTAAACAGAAGACAACAGCCGTACTTGGACTAAATTTTTGAAAGCCCGCAACATGAAATTGCGTCTGTCAGGCCCAATACATGAATGGTCTGGTCAGTATGTGAATATCACACGACCACACCTGATGGTAGTAATTGACAGCGTTTTATATTATTTAAATTAAATAGGGCTCAATACAATTTCTCTATTTTAAAGAAACAGAAAAAAAATAAAAAATAAAAAATAAAAAATTATTATGTTACTGGTGAATTAACTCACCGTATACAATGAAGACACTTCCGAAAAATTCAATCCAATGGTTAAAAAATACAACGTGTTCAAAGTTATATTCTAAATGATGTTGACACTCTTAGTCACATTTTGGATAATCAAATAACTTCATCTTATCACGAATAATATGTATATGACTGTCAATCAGTTTTATTTTTTTTTTTTTTTTTTTTTTTTTTTTTTATTCTTTCCCTATTAGTAATGGACTCGATTAAAGATAGCACAAAAAACATCAATTACTAATTTTTTTTTGAAATGTGTGAATAAATCTTAAACCACAAAAAAAAAAAAATGGAAAGAGTAGTGTTGTAAACGAACCGAGACGAACCGAGCTTGAACGAACCGAGCTTGGGTTGTTCAAGCTCGTGTTCGTGTTTGTTCGTTTATTTTTCGAGCAAAAAATTATATTCGAGCTCGTTCGTTTAATTGTTCGTCAAAGTTCGAGTTAGTTCGTGTTCGAATAATTTAATACATAAACTTTTTAAATATGTTTGATTAACTCGAAATTTATTCGTTCGAACTCGAAAATAAAAGCATAAAATAAAAATATTTTTATATTTTAGTTTTTTATTAAAAATACAATGTAATTGTATAAAAAATAAATCAAATTATAGTAAATTTTATATTTTTATTAGAAATTTTATGTAAATATATAAAAAATAAAATAAAATAATATTAAAATAATATTCGCGAACATAATGGAACGTTAACGAACGAGCTCGTGTTCGTTCGATTATTAAACGAGCCTAATTTTCTGTTTGAACTCGGCTCGATTAACAAACGAACGAGTTTTTGTCGAACACGAACAAACTCAAACTAGTTTCTGTTCGCGAATGTTTGGTTGGTTCGTTTACAGCTCTAGGAAGGAGTATATACTTGATTCATTCTATTTAAAATCAATCATGGCTCACAAGCCATAACACATGGCAATAATAGAGTGACCAAATGTAACAAAATGAGATGTTAGATACTTCTGATTATGGGGAAAATAATAATTTCAACCCTTGATTAGGAGTACGTCGCTGTTACATATCTGAGGCCGACTTAGCACTATATATATAGTCAATTATTGAAGAATAATTTCAAATGAATGTAACAACAATAATATTTCAAGAATTTAGATATAAAATAATCATATATAAGAGTCTTTTACACGCCAAATATCTATGTGAACCGAAAATTGGCACACCAATCATGATGACATTTAACAGAAGTTTGATGAGTTTGGTTCAAACAGACCAACACAAAAAATATTCTGCTGGGGTTTTTGCTTCAGACAGCAACAACAACAATACTCAAGGCAACCAACAATAAACTGCACAAAACAAATTAAACTTATGGGAGATGCTACAGTCTCGTTACGGAACCATACCATCGGGGTTTGTAACTGTTAAATCATCATGTAACCGTTGGGGATAGTTGATCTAACGGTTACAAACTCCGACGGAATGGTTCTGTAACGAGACCGTAGCATTTCCCTAAACTTCTATCACAACATATGTATATTGACCAAAATTTTTAAAAATTCTTCCAAATTTAGCCACCTCATCATGAATCTTGATTAGAACATAAAAGTTGACCCTTTTCATCATTTTTCTAAATAATATTTTTTTAATTATTATTATATAAAAAAGTGAACAATCTGATCACAACAATGAACAAAGCAAAAATGCATTTTTAGTTAATATGGTTTACCAAACACCACTATCATATTAACTATACAAAAATAAAACAAGCATTTTTAGTTAATATGGTTTACCTACAAAGAGTAAAACAAGAGTCAACAAATCCACCCAAGGAAACAAAATCCATGCCATTGGATGATTTTATTATATTTGTAGTTAAATTCCAAAAATCCATATCAATCATTCAAAAAAGGTGTAATCAGAAGTGGAAAATTTTATACTCATACACATACTTGAGAAGAAAATTCATTAATTCATTTTTGCCTTTTGAATGTTCAAATTAAATTATATTTACATTGAATTCAAACCTCTTCACATCTCATTCATGAATATGATTCATTTTTCTCAATCATACATTTGTATCTTTTTATCCATCTTCATTTTGCCCTTCTCCCTTATAACAAAGCCTCTTGCAACATCTCTAAAACCTTCAAAAATTAACATGTTACAAATATTTTCTTACATTTCCTATCTTTTTCTATTATCTCTACTATGTAGTACTAATGTTCATGCTAGAACTCCACCTTTTTTTTACTCCTTAAACCCAAAAAACGATTCATCCGAAAACCATCGCATCGCATGGCACGAATTCGGAAAATTTCAATACACAAGAAAAGGGAGCTCCTTTGATGGGATTTCTAAGCTCAAGAGATATCTCAACAAATTCGGTTACTTAGAAGCATATGATCACACAAATTCGACAGATGAATTCGACTCGAGCCTCGAGCACGCTATAGCGAAATATCAACGGAATTTTGGACTCAAAATTACTAAAGAGCTCGATTTAGAAACACTTACCGAGATCATGAAGCCAAGGTGCGGCGTCAGAGACATTTCGTCGAACACGTTGACGGCGGGTAGGAAGTACGAGTACTTCACCGGCCGCCCCAGGTGGCGGCGGGATATTCCAATGACGCTGACGTACGCGATCTCTCCGGAACACGTGGTGGCCTCCCCGAGCCATTCGGAGATCAGGGCCGCGCTCGGGCGGGCGTTCGCGCACTGGGCGGCGGTGATCCCAGTCGAGTTCGTGGAGACCGGCGACTACGGGTTCGCGGACATCAGGATAGGCTTCTACGAAGGAGACCACGGCGACGGCGAGGCGTTCGACGGCGTTCTCGGGGTCCTGGCCCACGCGTTCTCGCCGGAAAGTGGGCGGTTCCACCTGGACGCGGCGGAGACGTGGGCGGCGGACCTTGCGGCGGAGGGAGCGGCGAGGGCGGTGGATCTGGAGTCGGTGGCGACGCACGAGATCGGGCACCTGCTGGGGCTGGCGCACAGCCGGGACAGGGCGGCGGTGATGTATCCGAGCCTGAGGCCCAGGGAGAGGAAGGTTGAATTGAGGGTCGACGACATAAGGGGGGTGCAGGCGCTGTACGGGTCGAACCCTAATTTCAGTTTACAAGCGTTTTCGGAGTCGGAGATGTACTCTAACGGCGGCGGCGGCGGCGGCGGCGGCGGTGGGGTTTTTTGGGGGATTAATTGGGCGGTGGTTTTGGCGATGTGGCTATGCATGTAACGTAACTTGGAATTGTGCAGAAAAATACATTGACTTTTTGACTTTTTTTGTTCATTTTTTTTTTCTGTTATATCTTTCTTTTGGGCCTGGGCCTTGAGATTTTTCATAAAATGTATACATACATACCGTTATTGTCAGGTTTGAATTCGTATTTTTGTTTAGTGTTTGATTTTATAATGTAAAAGTGCACAAGTGATATTTGGGCTTGTGTGCCCGGTTGCAATTTTTCTTTGACGCAGATATAATCACTGTGAAACGAAACGCATCGTTCATACCTTGATTCGGCTCGACTCGTTTGCTAAATGAGACGAGCTCAAGCTCTCTTAAAATTCATTTCGTTAACGAGCCAGGCCCGGCTCTATAAAGCTCTTAAAAGGCTCGATTTTTTTCTATAATTTTCTATAGTTTGACTCGTTAAAGATTAAATCACTTCGTTAAATTGATCTCAAATTCGATTCGTTAATATTAATAAATTAGTCGAGCCGAACTCGACTTATTAAGGGCGCAAGCTCGTCTTTAGCACCTTGAATTCGTGCTATAGGCCTAATCACATTTAAAACATTATAATATTTACCATGCTCTTCATTACAGTTTTATTTCTCGCTTGAGCCCGACACAGCCCCCCTTGATAATATAGTCGAGCCTGAGTCAGTTTAAAACTCAATTAGTTAATCGTTATGGTTCACTGAAGCTCGAGAATAATATTCTTTATATACTTTTTCTAATATTTATCTATGTTCGACTTTTTAATGCTCAATTAGGGATTTTAACAGTTGACCGACACACCTATACTTGTATGTGACACAAGGTATAAAACCATATATCACAACTTTCCAAAAGAATCACAAGGAGTAATGACGCTATGCTCAGATGATTATGAAAAAACCATGACCACTACAAATGAGAGGAAAAATAATAATAATAAAAAAAAAAAAAAAAAAA